TTTGAAGCCTCGAGTTTGGCGTAATGGTTGTCGCCATGTCGGTTTTTGAGAGCCTTCGTAGCAGGAAACAAAGGCTCGCCTGGTCGCACACATTCTCATATTACAGATACAGTACAGTAAAATATGTTTCTTAGACATTTTTAGGTGAGAAATGGGCAATGCAGTAACAGAATCTCGATTTATATTTGATCAGCACTGCCTAGTTTAGCTTTATTGTCTATTTTACTCAGAATTGGACCATAATTTACTAAGTGAACATCATGCTGTATGGAAGAAGACATGAAACTAGCAGTTGAGATCATAAACTGTGTGGAAACTGTTTACTGAGCTAATAAATAAAGGGAGAAGTTGGGTAATTTCTCCACAAGCCTCCATATTATCAGGGTTTTTTCAGTCAATGGAGCTGCCCCCTGCTGGCCACTACAGATAATGCATGTTTAAGACACTGACTTCATTTTACAGATTTGTAAGCCCTATCCACTATATAAACTCACATACTGTGCCCCGGTCATGGGCACTGACTGGAGAAATAGTCCAACCCTTGCTCTCTCTCTCTCTCCCTTACTGCTGGACTCGATGGGCACCCAGAAAGTTTCACCCTTCTTCCCCCAGAGGAAGTTAAGTCTCATGACTGACCTCAAGAGACATCACTTTTGTTTCTAATATCTGGGGGTGTAGAGTTAGAAAGAAGCTCAGCTTGAGGCTAACGGCTTGAGGATAAATCAGCTGCCCAAACCCAAATCTCCAACCAAACTGTCAGAGGTTGAGTTGCATTGTGGGTATACTGCAAGTAGCAGGTTTTGACAAAGAAAGGTGTAACAGAAAGACAATATGTGTTTCTGCTGCACTGATTTCAAACCTTTTTAAAAAACAGTTCATAAGGAGTCCAACAGCGATGAGTGCAAAGCAGCTACTGACTTTCATTCGTCCTGTCACAGTTAAAGTCACGTAGTTTCAACAGTGGAGCTCATGGAGAGCGATGCGTGTTAAACTACATCTAGACTCTAGTCTCTAGATGATCATAAAGCAAACTACTGCACTATCAATATAAAACCATTAAGACCTCTTACATACAACCCTAACCCCTAACAGCGGTGCTGGCTCTTACACAAGCATGAGATTAGGAGAAAAGAAACACGATGCAGAAACATGAAAATACATTTATTTGAAAATATTTCCATTTGAATATTTTGGTTTGGTTTATTTACAGTAGCCCTTTAATGCCTTTAATTTATTTATTTTATTTTTCAAGTGTTAGTTTAAACCTTGATTGAATAATAATAATAATGATTGTACTTCTTAGCCCAAACTTGTACCATAAAATGTCCAAACACATCAAACTCCAGGCTGGATAAACATTTAACAGTCAAAATGGTAACAGCTCTGTTAGTTCAGAAATCCAGTTGAAGGACTCTCATTCATACATAAATATTTAAAGGACAGGACAGTTTAGATTCCTGAAACATGAAGCCCGTACAGGTTTGACACAGGTAAGACACCAGTGCTACAAATATGATGGTCAGCAAAAAGTGCTTCTTTACTACAGTCATACTGTAAACATCGTCTCTAAGGCCTCGAATTAGATCCAAACAATATTAGCACCATAGTGCCGTCTACCTTCACACATGAACAATACAGACAGAATGAATGACAGGAAGGGGGGAAACAAGCAGTTCTTGCCTTCAACCATAAACATAATAATTAAAACCTGTTTTTGACTATAAGTACAAATAACATTATTATTAACACTATTCTCTTTAATACTTCTATGTTCTTTATATTATTGACCAATTTACTTTTAAACTGCACATCCACATCATCTTAAAAGGTCCCGTTCATCCACCGTGCAGCAGTCCTGCACATTTAGCGACGATGGAGGGAGAAACAGCAGATACAGTATGTAGTGTAGTACTGATGCTTGTCTACTGGTTATATTCAGGGGTTAAATTGGGCAGGGGCTCAGCCCCGGCACACAGGTCTACACTCCTCTGTCAGGGGACACTTTGCACATCTTCAACAATATATATAGTTTTACACTTTCCTCAAGCTTAATAATTCAAACAATGACTCAGTCACTCGACCTCAGTCCGTCAGACAGCACAGATGGCAGAGTAATAAATGGATGGCACCAACATATTTCACCAGGGGAGAAAAATAGGTCAGAAAGTGAATAACAGCAAGTTCCCTCCGATCTTTGGTAGCTAACGTTCACATTAAGCTAACTGGTGAGCTGCAGTTCGAGTTAAACTGTCATGCAAGATAGCACGTATTGAAATCTCTCAGCACTGTCAGGAATATTAATTACACTACGGCTGGGTAATGCAGGCTAGTTTGACAGTTTCCTAGCTATAACATTAATTAATGAAAACTAACTAGCTCATTTCATTTTAGTTTATTAAGCTTTTTTACACTATTTTCATTTAGATAATGTGTGTATGTTGTATATTTTATCTAGAATGACTTTAATTAACATTTTAGTTTTCAGAGCAGAGGGTTGTCTCACCTAGTTATATTTTATTTACCATTTGTCGAATGATTTTGTCTGTGGCAACCCTAAAACCACAGAGCAACCCCCACATAACAAATCCCAATTTAACCCCTGGTTATACTGGTTCCCAGTCTTATAGAAACTTAAGAGAAGGTAGCGGTGAGGATGGCCTCTTGCTGTTGGTGATGGAGGGTCCCAATACCAACAGCAGGTGCGGGCAGAGCAGGGCGGCTTACTAACCGGAGCTGAGGAAGAGAGGGGAAACAGTATAATGTGTGTAAAATCAACCATCTGTATCATATACACTGTAGGTTGTATTATCTGAAACACTCACCTTGCAGGCCAGCTGCTTCTCAAACCTGGGAGCTACAAAAGACCAGGGACCCATGTTTTGAGGCTCCTCCTGACTCCATGTGAATTCTGTGGAGGATTAAAAAAAAGAAGAAGATTATATTGAAAGTAAAAGAGGACATGATTCACAGTGACCAAACATGTGTCTTTATATAATTTAGGAACCACTTTGGTTAAAGTTCCTCTCCTGCCCTTTGACCACAGAGTGAAGAAATTACAGATCAAACAAAAAACGGATTCTCTTCAGTGTGTTTGACGAGCTGAGAACAATAGAACAAAGACCTGAAAACTTGCAGGTTTTGTTCCAGAAGTAAGAAAACCTAATTCAGAATCTCAATGACGTTTGTAACAAACGTACTAAAAGTTCAGCCTTGGAACGCAACTTCACTCAACAATATTTTACACATAAACAGGGATTTTTTTTTTTTGCATGTATTTGACAAATAACATCACTGATTAGTTAAAATCCTCATGCTGCTGTGGGTAAAACTCTTTAAACTTTAAACTCAGATAACGAGTGCTGTAGTGGAAACTCACTACAGCACCAAACAAACATGTTTTCAGGGTTCTCAGAATAATATGGAATATTAAACCCTGGGGACACATTTCGTTTTTAGGAGACTGGGATTGGAGGAAACTCGAGAAAGATTGGCTGATTACTCAAAGCGAGATGGGAACCAGCAAGTCAGAGGTGACTTTAGAATTTGAGTTAATATGTTAAACCTATGGCTGCCAATTACGGTTAAGGTCATATTGTGATTTTTTGGCTCGATATTGCGATTGATTCAAGTTTCATTATTCTGAATCACAAATTTATTTGCTGAATTAATTAATGTTTATGTCAAATTTCTGGGGTCTTTACCAGAACAAAGATTTGTATGCCAGGGCCTCTCTTCAGAACTACAGTACCACAATAGATATTTCACGTGGTCATATTGTGATTTCTTTAATAGTTCGATGATCCGATTCTTTAATTGTGCAGCCATAATGAAAACAGCAAAAATCATCTTCACTAAGTACAAGTAACAATACACAAAGCGTAAAGAAAAGGACGTGCACACTGTTAGCCAGTAGTTCCTCATTCTTGGAAAGTCTTGCAGGACAAAATGAACCAATCACAGCTGTAGTCTGGCTTGACATTAAGGTACGGTGGGCGGACAAAATAACAAACACAGCACTGAATACCACTCTGGTGAAGCGAATACTTTAGATTTTTGTTTGTCACTGATGCATCAGCGTCTCTTGTTTCTTTAAAAGTTTTTATAATGTCTTGAGGATTCACTAATAAAAGTGGTGACTGTCAGACTGCTGAGTGGCATTCAGCTTACTGTGACTCACTTGAGTAGCTGCTTTTGTAATTGTTTCTCTGCCCGACACTCAAAGTTAGACGGCTTTCTCATCGAGTGACTCTGGTCCTACTGAATCTGAAGTGAAGGACTGAACTGCGGTGAAGAAATATCACTTCCTTTTAAGCAATGATAAAATGGAAATAACTTTCTGCTGTCAATAAAGGTCAGAGGTAGTTCAAATCCCTTTCACTTTTCACAAGAAGACTAAAAACAAAGACATATCTTTTTAAATAATAACAACCTCATCATCAGGACAAATATATATAGCAAGAATTAAAGGACTTAGGTTCCAACATATGTACTTTCAGTATGCCAGACTAATGTTATGGGGACATATTTCTTTATAAAAGCAGTGTTGAGAGGATTTGAAGAAACAGTGATGAGCTTTTAGTTTTTCTGCATTACATTCATATCTGGAACAAACTACAGCTCCAGTTTCAAACTCTGTGTCTGCTTTTTTACTACATGTTGGGTTTTTATTGCTGCACTCTATCTGCCACATAAGATTTATCCTCTTAATATTTTGTCTGTATGTTATTTAAATTTAAATCATGCATCTTCTATACCATTGTGCTTTATATTGTTTTAATGCATTTTTTAAGGACCAGTGTGTAACATTTAGGAGGTCTATTGGCAGAAATGGAATATAATAATTCATAGGATGTTTTTCATTAGTGTATACAATCACCTGACAATAAGAATTGTTGTGTTCAACCTCTCGTGCATCAGTCACAAAGACTGTGGTATTATGTGATGCAGCGAGGGGAAATCAAATCATAACATATGCAAAACATAGGAAAAGCATGTTTGGAAAGAGGAACAGTGAACACAAAGAGACTACAGAGCTGAATATATACCTCTGATTGTCTAAAGGAAAAACAAACATAATTTACTTATAATTTAAGTTATGTTTATGTAAAAAAAATAATAAAGAAATGTAATAATAATCCCTTTGACCTCTGGGAAGTTGGAATATGTCCAATCATTTTGTCATTATGTAAAAAATATTTCTAAGTTGAGACAAAGAATCAAACATCAGTTCATTGATATTTAAATGAATAATAACAGAAATATCATTATGAGTTGTGAGGGTTATTGTAATGACTGATTTGTTCTCTACTGTGTTTCCTCTTTGATTTTTAAGTAATATGAAGACCAGGAATATATTAATGCAGAAGAAGAATACAGTAAGTCCTTCACACTGAAATGTTCACAACAGGATAAAGTGTTAAATTAAAGTGTTCATTTGTGCATAAACCCAAACAAAAAGGACTTTTCCACAATGACTAGACTGAAACAAACATATAAAGTCAGTAAGCCTGAGAGCAGTGAATACCTTTCGCATTGGGGTATCTTTTGAGCTCCTGCTGCAGGGCCTCTAGTGGGAACGGACACAGCTCCTCCACACGGATGAGTGCTGTGTTCTGATTGGCTGCTGATGTCTCTCGCTGTTTCAGCAGGGCATAGTAATGCTTCCCTGAGCACAGCACCACCTTCTGGACACTGCATGGAAGAAGAAAGTTCAAGTGGTCTAGGTTTAATGTATGTGTGACTTAAAGAATGCTTTTTAAGTGTCTTTAAAGTTTTAGTGTGTTTTATTAAGGGCTGCAATGATGACCTACGATGCCTTGCAATTTGAGTTATTCCTTTATATATATTTCACCATGCTGAGGCTCACCACTACAGAATAAATTACAATCATTAGAAAAAGTCTTTTCATGATCATGTTGTGACTTCTGTACCTGTCTGCTGAGACTGAAGTATCACCCAACACTGGTCTGAAAGACGTTCCTGGTGCCAGCTCAGCCAGACTGGAAACTGCCCCCTGCGAAAAGAATAAACATTATTTAGCCACGATATCTGTGAAAAAAAGTTGGTACTGTTGAATAGTTTCTTCTTTGCAAGGTCTTAGAGTGCTTACAGAAAACCTGAGCAGTGTCTTGGGTCCAACCACAATGAGGGGTTTGCGGAAATTACGGATCATCTGTCTCCTCAGCAGATGGAAGTACTGAGCAGGAGTGGTGGGATTGACCACGGCCATGTTCACAGTGTCTCCGTCCACACCCTCCTCTTTACTGTCACACATCTTAGAGACAAAAGAGGACGAGTTAGCAATAATTTACAATTCAGGTAATGTGTAACACAACACAGAACAAACCAGAAAGCTGCTGGTAGAGCACGGACACTCAGTTCAGAAACATCCAAACTTCATGAGTCTCTGTAACAGAATATGAATGTAATGATATTAAGCGGAGGAGACTTGCAGGTCCTGATGCCCTGATTCCCACCAGTTAACATAAACTAGTGCTTTGAAGACAATACTCCTCTAAAAGAATGTTGTGTGAATGTTCTTTTAAACCCACATGTGTTGGTTTGTTAAAATTAAAGCCCTGGTAGCTCGCCCGGTGGAGCTGGTGCCCCATGTGCCGGGGCTGAGTCCTGCAGCGGCCACAGGTTTGACTCCGGCCTGTGGCCCTTTGCTGTGTGTCATCCCATTCCTCTCCCACCTTTCCTGTCACTCTTTGGCTATCACTATCGACTAAATGCAATGAACCACTACACATTCAGAAATTTCTAACACTGAAATCACTCCTCATGTACGATATAGTGCACTATATTTACCCTCTGCCATTTTCTAGTATCTTAATTGTGAACTCTTTGCTCTATATAGTGTCCTTAAAAGATCCCATTACGTTGTGAAAAGAGCAGCGTCCATGCATGTTTTTAAGAGAACATCCCCAGATTGCAATCAATCACATTTATAGATGAAACGATTACCGCTGTGAGTCTGTGATGACTCAAAATGATGATGATACTTAAGTGTCTGAAATCTCCATTTACTGCTTACAATAGTGTAAAAGAGAGAGTCAATTATATTGGGAGTACTGAGTGAATGAGGGGGAGATTTTTGAGATGGCCTCAATCTGATGCCTTTCGCCTGCTGATTGCTGGTGGCCAATTAGGAAGCTGATTTGTTATTGATTTTACCTGTTAACAGCCTGTAAATAATGCCCTCTGTGCTGCATCATGTTCTTTTGTAGTGAGCCGAGCTGTCACCACCATGACCCTCACCACTGTCATGACGTTTTTTTCCCCCACTATTTTTGCACAAACTTTTTTGCCCTGTAAATTGAAATTTAGTATTTTATCTAATATTACTCAGTTAATTTCTTAATTCCCTGTATGCAGGTGCCATTTTGCTCATTTAGATCTTTGCACCAGCACAGAGAATGTAAGGGCACGCATGCGTACATTTGTCTATTTTCTCTGTGTGGAGTTCAACTTTAATGAACTTTGACCAGCCTCAACCAATAGCAAAGAAAAAGAAAAGTATGTGTTCCCCTCAGCAGGTAATGGTCACTCCCCTGCACTCCCAGGTAAAACTCTTTTCATGTTATGAGTAGTATTACATATGTTGAAGCTACGAATGGACGGGAGGGAAAAGGTAACCTCTGTACTGGCTGAGGTAAACATTAAACCTCAATGAAAACGTCCAAGGTGTTTTTGGTATATCATTAAGCAATACATGATAAATTTGCAGGACTTGAACCTGTGTTACGCCACATTCACGTTGTGAATATGCGTTATGGACAAAATCAGAAACCGGTAACCTGGTTAACATGAATGTGGCATTACAGTCCCACAGACCTGGAGGAAGCGCTCCATATGGCAGGATGAGTGTTCAGGTCCGGCTCCATCGTAGCCGTGAGGCAGCAGGATCACCATCCCATTCTGTAACAGCCATTTGGCTTCACCTAGGGACACAGCAGTTTCACATCTGATGTACAATGATTCATACAAAAGTATAAGATACTGAGAGTGATTGTGAATCTGTTGAAAACACCAGTAGTCAGACCAGCAGTTTACCTCCAGAGATGAACGTATCGAAGATGATCTGCGCACCGTTGAAGAAATCTCCAAACTGAGCCTCCCAGATAGGAAGGAGCTTCGGCTGTGCGATACTCATACCATATTCAAATCCAAGCACCGCTTCCTCTGACAGCGGGCTGTTACACACCTAAACACACACAAAGACATCACAATGCTCCACATGAGGAGGAAAATGTCTGATATTTATGGAAGAATTGATGTGTCACGATTTAGAGGGATCGGATTATCTGGTTTTTAAGGATTTTACCTCCAAGAAAGCGGTCTGCTGAGGGCTGATGTGGTTTAGAGGGATGTACATGTCATTAGTGTCTTGACAAACAACCATGGCGTGTCGCTGACTGAACGTGCCTCTTCCAACATCCTGTCCGCTGATTCGAATATTAAAGCCTGTAACAACAATGACTTGAAATCTACAAATCTATTTCTTGACAGCAAAACAATCCAATGATTCTCTTCTTTCTGCTTGATGCTGACCTTGGGAGAGCATAGAGCCGAAAGCCAAGGCCTCTGCTGTGGACCAGTCCAGTTTGGTCCCGTCTTCCAACTTGTTCAACCGAGCCTGAGTTCACAAAGGAGAAATAAAGAAATCATCTAGCTGCCGACACGGTTCCCACTCTTGTTAAGAAATACTTTTCCAGAGTGTTTCCAGGACCTTTTCAAGTAGTTTTTCTTGACCATACAGGACAGCACTTGCTTCCAAACGGTCATATAACTTAAAGTTAGGCCTAGTATTGAGTCCTACTTTTAATGATGCAGGGTTAATGATGTGGCGCGCTTGGCTGTTCTCACCCCAGTCGAAGTGTTTGTTACAAATAACTTTGCTGTGCATGTATTTAACAACCACAACAACAAATGTGATCATTAATAGGCTGTGTGCATGTAGATATGAACATTTACAGCATTTCCAATGGGCTTCTCTGAGAATTCGGCTTATGAATTCAGGAAAAAAGACTGGGTGTTGAAAAGGTCGCTGCAAGTCTGTTCCGCTCTGCTTTTTTTCTGTTTCACATCTGATAAACGAGCTTTGAAGTGTCATACCACACAGCTTATTCTTCTAACAGTTTAATTTCAAACTAAATATGCACAAGGTTAACATAGGCGATCTACAATTAAACATTTCCAGGACAAAATTCCATGACCGGAAAACCAGTCTCTAAATTTCACGGTTCTCATGCTTTCCAGGACGCGTGGGAACTCTGAGAAGACGGTCCAATAGAAATGGCGATGAGTGTACCTGTACATGGGTCCTCCCAAGGTGGCTGTGCAGCTGGATTTGCTCAGGGATGTCCACAGATTTTGCGCCTACAAACTGCAGCAAGGGAACAGGGACACCCGTGTCCCAGGTGGTGACTTTGGCCTGGGGTTCCACCAGATCCCCCCAGCGGCCCTGCAGGTTGGTGGGTGGAGGGCTGTACAGGGTCATGTTGGACAGCTTGTCGTTGAGCATGCCGTAGTATTTGGACTTGATCTCGTCACGCTCGACATCGGTCATCAGACCCTCAGAGATCAGCTGGTCTGAGTAAGAGTCAGGGACGCTCTTACGGGATCTGTGAGGATGCAACAATGCGACAATGTCTGATTATCAACCATTTTTTTCACAATATACAATCCATAATATATCCGAAGGGGAATAATAGTTTTGTTATTTAAACTGTCTTGGTTTTACTCTACTTAGAGAAAAATCTAATCTCCAAATGGAATTTCAAGACAAACAATATGCTGTCAGTCACTGTTCCCACTGGCTCCACTGGTGGGCAAATACTTTAGTAAAACTCAGTGACAGCACAAACAACATTTAAGACTTTAAACTGAACTGCACTGAAGTTACACATTACCAAGGTTTACATTGATCAGAAACCTCCTCTTTGTAGGAACTCTGTCTAGCACAAACAGAAGACTTTGGCTAATTACAGGTCATTTCAGAGTTGGACGTGCACGCCTCCTTAAGATGAAGCCTAGTATCGCGTAGCCAGATCTATCTCCACTGCTGTGCCAGCGCTGGAGAAAGAAAGGCCTGATTCAAAGGTGGACAATCATGCAAATGTCCAATATTTCCTTTGCCTACAACAGCATTTAGGACAAAACAAATATGATTTCATTATGTTTGATGGTGTTCATATTGAGTGGCAAAGAGGCATGGAGACAAACAGTGGGGAATACCATTTGAGGGCTAGTGCACTGTTTCAGTGGTATGTGTATTTCGCTAATGCAAAGCCCTTTCCTTGTTGGGCGGTGTGAAACCTACTGAAGAAACCTGCGCTGCTTGTAGCCTCACTGCCGAAGCAGAGTGCTGCTGAGGCAGTTGAAAAGGCTGTCCTGACCATCCTCGCATCTCGCTGTTAGATGCTTTACTGTTGCAGTTCCTTGAAGCCTGCGGGGCTCCGCCCCGGGGCAGTAATATGCTGGAGGGGCGTCTTTGAGAAGACGAGTCGCAGCCGCAGGGAGAGGGAACGGGGGTCTTGGCAAGGCTCACGTTGTGGAGAGTGAGCCTACATGAGGCATGGGGTTTCGCAGGACAACCAGCTCCTATTGAACGTGTCCTGTTTTTTGGCGGGTGGGGTTTAGTGATATGAGCAGCAGAGTGAGAGAAGGAGATTTTGCATTGTGTGTGTTTAAACAGTCTTAATGCTACATTAGGCAAAGTTTTATCCAGGTTAATCAAGTTTTATCATCTGCTTAAGAATCCTGAGAAATATGCGTATATGCTACAGTAAGCCTTGAAGTACATAAAGTACATTGGACTGACCGGATGATCTTGTACATGGCGGGGTTGGTGAAGAAAGGCTCGTCCAGCTCGTTGTGGCCCCACTGACGGTAGCAAATCAAGTCCAGGATGATGTCTTTCCTGAAAAGCCGCTGGTACTCCACAACCAGCCGAGTGGCCCGCAGCACCTCCTCTGCATCATCTCCATTTACATGGATCACAGCACAGTTCACCATCTTACCTGTGATACAAACGTGAGCATTAGTTTCTGATTTTAAAAGGTCCAGTGTGTAGGATTTAGTTGCATCTAGCAATGCAGCTGCAGATTACAACCCCCTCACCTCACCCTCCCATTCCAAGCGTGCAGGAGAAACTATGGTGGCAGAGAAATTCAACACAAAGGGCCCAATCTAGAGCCAGTGTTCGGTTTGCTACTGTAGAAACATGGCAGTTCAAGAGGACACTCTCTCTCTGTAGATAAAATGTGTGAACTGAAGAGCTTAAATTTGTCCACTTGTGATCAGTTCACCCAAGACAAATTGATACCAGGTCCAAACAGCACCTACGCTTCCTAAGAAAGTATCAATTCTTCAATTCTCTATTTTGATACGGATGCTTTTTACGAATTTTGACTCACCGACATCACTACAGTAGAGGGAGGATCTCGCCCTCTCGGACGGGGTGGTGTAACCCACTTGGTTGTTCACAATGAGGTGGATGCTCCCACCAACTCTGTAGTGAGGGAGGTTTGAAAGGGTCAAAGTTTCTGGCACAATCCCTTGGCCAGTGAAAGAGCCATCACCATGGACCTGTGGAAAAGAGGACAGACATTGTCTTGAAGTTTCAGTTACATAGAAATAGTTTATTTATAGATGTAAAACATTAATATAGCAGAGAGTAGAGTCTCTTTAGTACCAAATTTCCTCTGTTTCAATGTTCATATGAGCACCTGACAATTTAAAGAGACTTAAAAACTGTGAACCTATCCTTTAAAACGCCTCGCTCTGGGTCCACACCAATAAAAGATTATTCTCCTTATCAAATAAAATGTATTAAATTGCTCTTCTTAGCTGCGTGTGTGCATCAGTTGTCGTGACCCAGTACCTGCAGACAGACGACTCGGTCCCCCGGCTGGGCGTTGTCTTCAGGTGAGTAGTCTCCTTCCTTCTTGAGCTGCTGCCTGGCTCTCGTTTTGCCCTGAGCCACGGGGTTGATCGCTTCCAGGTGAGACGGGTTGGGCAGCATGGTCACATGAAGAGGGTGTTCGGCTCCAAAATCCAGTTCCACTGAGGAGGTGAGGTGAGAGAGGACGTCACCAATAGCAGGCGAGGTGTCGGGGAACTCGCTGAGGCCACGCATCTTACGGAACATGAGCTGGAGAGGAAAATGATGGAAGACGTTATCTTCCTCTTGTTGGCTGTTTGGCAGCCGGCCACGACTTTCTGTTTACTTGTGCTGCTGATTGCAGTAGAGCAAAATTACACAATCTAATCTTGTTATCAGGTCATGGTTCATTTCAAAGTATACATGTCTCATTAAATGCGGCTGTCTCGGGCTAATTAACCTCTGGTGGGAACTTCAGTAGGCCCGTCAGGAGGTTGAGTCGGCCTCTGTGCGGCATGCCGATGACAATGTCAGTGACTCCGCTGTGGGCAAACTGGTAGAAGAGCTCGTAGAAGAAGCCCATCATGCTCTCTGCTCCTTCTCCTCCGTAACGTTTCACAGTAGCAAACTTGGTGGCCAGAAAGTGGTCAAATTCCTACAGGTTGTGAGAGAAAATATATGACATTATCATACAACACATGATAAATAAGAGTATATTTTTTGCATTGAATATGGGTGTTATTCTCCTCTTTTGGACCCACCTGAGATTCAAGCATAACCTTGGCCAGCTGCCTCCTCTCCTCAGCGGAGAAACTCTGCTTCTTGAGTTCCTCAAAACGGTCAGCGAACCACTCCCTCTCCTCTACACTGCTCAGCTGGTTGGTCTCCACCGACAGGCGGCCACAGTAGGCTTCTTCCAGGTAGGCCTGAACCTCTTCCACTGAAGCCTCTGCTTTGCCGAAATGTCGTAGACCTGCAGAAGCACATCGAACGAGCAGTGACAACACCGACATGTGAGGTTTTGACTGATCGTATCTGGTGATTTTCATATTTTAGTCATGTTTTTTACAGTCCTGTGCTGCTGTTTTTGAGTCTAGTCTTATCCAATAAAGATTATTTTATACCTGATGTGAATGAAATTAAGTAGCTCGATTCTAACCTCAGTTAAAAAGTAAAACCATCCTCCAACCCTTTCCATCCTTAGGTTTATAAAACAATAACATGTACAGGTAAATAAAATCATAATTATTTTTACTGCGATCGTTTCCATTGTAAACCTTAAAAATTAATAAGTAAGACAACAAATAACAAAATAAGTATTAAATTAAGAAAAAAAAAGAATCATACAAATAATCACATGTTAAAGCTCTTTTGATTTCTTGAAAGTGGAGTTAAGAATAAAATGTTTTAAAAAGGTTTACCAGGTTGTTTCCTACGTTTCTTTATATTTGTTCTTTCCTATACATTTTATGTCATTGGTAACAGGAATACAGTTTATTTTATTTTAAGACTAACTACTTGCATACATTAGTGCATGAGTACTTTTCCTTTTAGAAGTACATTTTGCTGATAATAACTACTTTTACTTACCCATCAGTAAGATTTTGAACTTTTACTTGTATGGGAGTGTTTATACATTGTTGTACTGCTACTTTAACTTCATTTAAGGATCTAAATACAGCTTCTGTCACAATCAGTGAAGTTTATACTGCAATGCAAACGAAAAAAGAAGGAGAAAGACTGTTTGGTTACACTTTTAACAACATTACATATATATTGCATATGTATGAGGAACAAAACATGCTAGACATTGTCATTAAGGCTGCAAAGTGAATCAATATGGTGCAATGTCTAAATCACAGAAGCTAAAATAAGTAACAAAACAGCATTATAAGTGTGCTGCAGAGAGGCCCTGGCCTACAAATCTTACTACAGACGTAAGAAAACATGTTTGTTTGGTACAGACAACAAAAAATGTCACATCATCAGGATGATTCAGGACATTTCAGTGAAAGATGATGCAAAAATGACCAATCACAGTATGATTTATTTGTTTTTTTACCATTCTGTGCAGCCTGAATTGTCATTATACCAACCACATGCTTCCTGCATGTTTCCACCCACAGCTGACATTTACCTGAGGTGTTGAGCTGTCCTGTGAGGGTGCCCCTCAGCACGTCTATCTCCGGGACGCTGTCAGCAACGGGCTTGTGGGGTAGCAAAGGGTTAATTTTAGCAGCCTTGTGTCCATGTGCTCTGTAAGCCTCCACCAGACGGGCAAGACCATGATCTGAGCACACAAAGCACCACAACAGTCAACAGGTGAACCATCCTAACACCACATGACAGCTTCAAGTGTCCGCAAATGGAAGCAAAGACATGCTCTAACAACTTCATTAAAGTATTTGACACAATATACAACTGGAATAAAATGAGCTGGAGTCCTCGCCTCCTCGTGTGGGTGAAGTTAGGTTGTCTGTACGGAGAGTTAACCCCATACTGACCTTGATTTAGTGCCGCGATGCGGTCGCTCTGCAACTTGTGCTGGCTCTCGGTGTTTTTGGGTCGGTATCCGTAGACACCTCTCTCGGTGTGGTAGCAGCAGCCGACAACCTGCCGAGCGACCCGGGGCGGCAGTCTGCTCAGCGACTTGCTCAGGAAAAGCACGGCCGACATGTTTTTCTTTAAAAGAGCAATAATGATTTTAATCTAGAAGCGGGGCACAGCAACGACTACAGGACAGCCGCCATACTGCCGACAGAGGGACGTTGTGGGAGGAGACGCCGCATCGGAAGCCCATTGGCTGAGCTTCGTGGACTCGTTTCACAACACGGATACGACGAGACGTTTCACTTTTAGTTTTTATTTTTTTGTTGTTGCTAATTTTGTCTCCGATTTATTCAACACAAAGGGTTGTTTTTGTAGCACAAGAGGGTTCATTTTGTAGCGTTGTGTTTAAAACTAGCGCAAAATGTTCGAAGTCACTTGAAGTGGTCTTAGTGACGTAGCGCAACAAGTGTCAAGCGACAAGCATTGTGCTGCGTTCAAGGCCGCCTTGTAAATTCCAAACTCCACGTTTGAAAGGTGTAAATTATAGTTCCTCCATAACCTTATTCCTGTGATGTATTTGTCCCATACTGGGGTTTATATGTGTATTTGATTCATAAGACAGCAGTCATTTTAGTTCCCTCAGAGTAAATGGGTTGGAAGTGTTGGTTTCTCTTTGTACACCTCTCTCCTTCTCTGGGACTAATGATAAGTAACCCTCAACACAAAGCTAACTGCTGCACTAATAATATTTGAACTGTGTTGTGTTGCCCCTGTTGGCCTGTTTGTTAAGTTGTACGCATCTGTGTTCCACTGGAATAAAATAATAAAAAATCAAATTGAAAGAAAGAAAGGTTTAAATCAGGATTTCAAACGGGGTTCAGCTTTGATTCTTAACTATAAATTCCATCTGAGTTCACACAACTGAGACCTTACACTCAAATGTTAACTGCAGCTGTGTAAATGCCTCATTAATTGTAAGAGCTGAGCTGAACCCAACAGACCTTTTTCACAGCAGCCATTTGGACATGAAATAGTTGGGTAAATACAGGTGATACCAATGATACTGCATTCAAACAGAGTCAAGGTGCATGTTGTCTTACTGGGAGGGCTCTAAATGAAGCAGAACCTTAATTAGTATAATTTGTGACATGTGTTTGTCCTACTGTTTCATGTCAAAATGGCTGCTGTGAAAAAGGTATTATCAGTACCCAATATTATCTACCTGTGCAGCTGCTGTAATTGTACTGCTCACTTGGTAGGTTTTTAAAGTTTTGGTTAGTAATAGGAAGGTTAGGTCTATAGCTGTTCAGTATATTTATATACAATATTTTGTACTTTAGTAACTTCACTGAACTCCAAGAATTAAACCATACTGAAAATGTATTGTATAATTTGTTTCTTTCACTTAGGTGATCACCCAGAATGCCTTGGCATTTTTTAATTCTTCAGTGCCAAGATGTACAACCAAAGTCGCACAGCAGAATGAGACATGTCTGGTCCCCTGAGTGATCTCAACCACTGGGTGGAGATATTTCACTGCATTTCCTTACAGAAGAAATAATCCGGAAGCATTTGCTCTCATGAAGTCCTAAATTACTTTATATTGCTGTTAGACGTCGTGTCTTAATTTGGGGGAGGAAACTCTTGAGGTAAATTTGTCGTAAGGATGAAGAGGAAAATTGGAGGAATGCCATTTTTAATAGTAAATCATTATACTGCTCTGTGACTCAGTCTGTGAACTGTGCTCAGTCCATATAGTCTGATGATCATAAAACATTTTACACAAACATTATTCCCTGTTTCAACGGGTCATACTGTACATTCTTAAATTAATTAATATTTCATTATTAAATAGCAAGTTGATCCCATTGCAGCTTTAATTAATAATTACATCAAAATGTGTTTTAATTATTGAGATCATGAAAACGTCATTGTCTTTCCATGTAATCCTCTTAAAGGACAATTCAACCCAAAAATATTATTTTTTTTTTATTAAAGATGGTTTTCACATTCTGGCTGTTTTCTAGAACCAATTCGTTGGCACAATTGTGTTTGAAACGTGTTTGAAAGCTGAACATTTTTCAGCTGTACTAAATGTTGGTAAACATCAGGTTTTCATATCAGTTCCACATCTAGATCCAGCCACATCAAGTACTCGATGCAATGCAGCAGAGCATGTTGTATCTTGGTTAAAAGGTGAGGCGAGGTTCTCTTTGTCCCGGTAGAAATAACTCACTCACTTTACTATACTGATATCACTATGCTGCCAACGCTTCATTCTCTCTACATACAGTTGGTCTAAGTTCATTCTCAAGGTGCTGTAGAGGGGAAATCAGGTAGCTGAGGTAGGTAAATACACTTTCACTTTTTTTTTCACTTTCACACTTATAATAACCTCAGGAAGGTGCAGAACATTGGACACTGACGATGTAAATAAGTGTAAAAGGACCTCAGTCTTTCCTGAGTTGGAGAATCTGTCGCCACTTTAACGAAGTTCATGCCTGATGGTGTGAAACCAATCAGTGAAGTCTGTGCTCTCTGCAAGCTGCACCCCCTCATTCAAATAATGGAGGATTTTCTGGTGTTATAGGTTCTGGTTTTTAGAGGTTTTATATGAAGTAGGAATGCAAATAATAATTTGCTTGATTTGTCCAACCAAATATATTCAGTGTACGATGATATAAAACATAGATCATTAAGAAACTGGAACCATCGAACGTTTGGGACCCTGATCTTGATAAATGACGAACATTCAGGGTTGCACCTTATAATTACTTCCAGGTTAACATCCAATACCAAAAGAGCCATTATGGACTATTTTACTAATGCTATGGAGTCTAAACTAAAGGTGTTTACTATTAATTAAATTTTATATTGACATTTTCACACAAATGTTCTTCACAGATGTGTAAAGACCCCATTAAGCTGTGGAATGGCATTTTATAATTGAAACCCAAAATAATCGCCTATAAACACTCCAACCAGCCATTCACACACCTGGGAGTCGACATCAAGGGGTTACATAAACCTGCTTTTCCCTCCCTCTGTTACTGCTCAGAAATAAGCAAAGAGAAGCACAACGAAGAGAAACAAGTTAGCGAGACATGACACACTAGGGGAGGGAGGGGTGGATTGTAAAATGTCTTTACAACACTGGACAAGCACAACACACAAAGACACACAGTCCATATTAGGGGATATGGTTTAATTTGGAGACAGAGGCAAAGAAACACACCACACATGAACAAACATTGACCAAAAAAGAACACAGAGTCTTTCGGCTACACACTCCGCTATGGGAAAAAACGGAAAACTCTACACAGGTAAAAAGCAAGGCTCAAACTAAACAGATAGTTAACTCTTCAACTAAGACAATTATCCACACAAAGTTGTTGAAATCCTGATGACCATTAAACTATGTGGACAGCACAAATACTACCATGAAACTTACCACGATTTAGAGGATCCCAACCCCCCCCCCTTCCCCAAAAAAAAAAACAACCAAAAAAGGGAAACTGATTAACGAAGTGAGGGACACGTAGAGATTTAAGTAAAATCTAAATCAGGCATCTTTTTAGAGACAAAAAACAAACACAAACAAAAAAAAAAAATTGCTTGACACCACCAAGAGGCCAAACTCAAGACCTGGTCAAGGCGAGGCCACATTGAGAGGCCAGACAATTTTTTTTCCAATATAGATTTTTTTTTCTTTAATTTCCAATATAAAAAGCTTCACTGGTACAAAATACATATGAACAACCAGTTGTAGAAATTGGAAAGCGTGTGTATGTCTTTTTTTTTTTTTCTCCTTTTTCAAATCCCACCCAGTTTCAAAAAATTGATATTAACTGAACAGAAAAACTACTGTATGTATAATACAGATCACATCAAGATGCACCCACTTTGGCTTTCATCAAGACAAGATAAAACATCTATTAAATTATTGGTGGAACATGAACAAAGTCCTACCGATTATCAGACAAGAAATTAACACAAGAAAAGATTTTTTTTTCTCCCTCTTTTCTTTTGGATCAAGACAATATCTATAGAGATGCAAAGCTACCACACTGTCAAAAAATAGCACTTCAGAATATGAAAACACAGAACAAAGAAAGTGATTGTTAGAGCCTGAATGGGATTTGTGATGGAAGCCCCTGAAGTGAGTCAAGTTCCTGTTGGGACCGCTGTGGACTGTACATTGTGCTTTTTTTTCTCTTTTGTTTTATTATTCATTCACAGTAACACTTAACCATACACTGCATATCTCCACAGATCTGCAATTATTTCAGTGTTTGACATACAATTTTATCATTTAAAGATCTTATTAACATGGCACCCAAGTCGTCTTTTCTTGCTTGAGGATTAGCTTTGTTTATGACTTTCGTTTGTATCGCAAAGTGTTACAGTACACGTTCACACTTACTAAGAAAGAGGTTTAACCTTCAAATGTATAGGGAAGTTTATTGTTTATCTACAACTTTTTAACCAACTCTTCAAATTGAATACATCACAATACACATTTACCAATAACTCAACACACAGAGTGTGTGGGGGGATGGGGGGGGACATGAGCGGGTGACAAGAGCTTTCATGACACTGGCATAAATAGACAAAAAAAGGCTAACTGCAGCAATCTCTAAACCAAGGCCTAATAAGGATGTGTAGGCAGTTTCTAGACGTATATATGGCACTTTGAATATTGTATTGCATTTGGATAGAAAAAACACACTGTAAAAAGCACATGCCCATATTAAAAAGTGAAATCAGTGGTACCTTGAAAATGTTGGGATTATAATCACACACACACACATTCTGCAAAAGTGATTAGCTCCCACAATTGTGCTTAGCGTTTCCTTACAAAACTACAACACTTTCCTCGAGCACTGTTTCAAATTTGGTACCTTATTTTTTTTTATTTTTTGGAATATTTATGTATTTTGAGAAGAAAAAAAAAAATCTAAACTCAAAAACAAAAAAAAGGTCAAATGGTGACAATTGTGCATTTTGTGTCGTAATCCTGTGTGAGTGTGTAGTTTCACACACAAAAAAGCCCCTGAGTTGACAACTCTTTAGCGCCATCAGGTACGCAGTTTTAGGGAACCCTTCTTTGGGGGTGAAGTGGTTGTTATTTTGTAGTACAACAGACAAAATACCACCCCAGTAAAAAAAAGTGTAAACTTTGTGCTGAAAAAATGGAATGTATTTGTAAACCAACACTATTGTGGTGGGTTTAGTAGTATTAATGTTCTGTGCATCGTGTACAACTGAAACATGATACTGGAAGTCACTTAAAAATAACAATCAGCTGAAAAAAAAGTGAAATTAAAAAAGCAAGCGTGAGTGTGTTTATAAAAATGTGCAGAGACCCACAGGTTGTGTGTTGTGTCCAAGTGATCTCTTCTTCAGGGGCTCCCACATTTGCAACCACAGAAAGTGTTTTGTGTGTCGCAGTGTGTGCATGTGTGTAAAGAAAACTAGGTAATATTACAGGAAAGTATGTTGTGTGAATTCAAAAACACTGAGTTTGACATATGGGCACTTTGACAAAAAAAAAAACAACAAAAAAAGACATTGTCTGGCATCTGTATGATTAACAGACATTGTAAATCATCATCTTTCAACATGATGCATCCAAACTAAACCAAAGTGAAACATCCATTAATTAAATTATTAATGAGAAATTCACAGAAAGTCAACAAGACGTACCGTGGAAGTTGAACACTAAACTTTTCTTTAAACGCAGGAAAAAAGAAATTAAATCTACACTGTGACCCTTAAAAAAGTACTTTTTTCCCCAAGAAATTTAAATTACAATTAATGTAGAGGAATTTTTTGACTTTAAGTGTGTTTTGAATTAATGACCCCCAAACGGTCACACTGATCAACTGATTCTTAGTCCTCTTTAAAAATGCAATACACTGAAGACCCCCCCTGACACAGATGACATTACAACATAATCTACAAAAAACCCAAAGTTTTGCCTGGGTTCTGTTAGTTAAACTTCTATAGATTCAATGGTATAAAATATAGGTAATCTAAGTGTGCATTTAAACCACAGATTGTCTATTTGTGAATCAGTTCTAAAAAAGTTGACTCATGTAGGTAGTCATTTCTCTAAACAGAGCAAATGTACCTTTTATTGTGCCATCAATAGTTCAAAAAAAGGTAAATACACAGGGTATTTTTGTAAATGAAAAGAATATATATTTTTAAATAGCCTTGGTGTAAATCTTCACACTGCCCGCAAAATGTAGAGATCATTACAGAGCACTGAGGGGTTTTACTGATCAGACTTTCAAAAGTGTTGGAAAGTGGTCTGTAGCATGTTTTTTTTTTTTTCTTTTAAGAAGCCAACATATTGCTAATGGCACCAAATAGCACAGATGTGTGCCAATCCCTGTATTCAACTTTCAAGTGAACTTTACTGAGAGAGGTAAAAAGAAAACATAAAAAAAAACAAAGCTAAATTAAAAATAAGCAAATCCCACAGGTTTTTAAAACATTCGCAAAAAACAAAACAAAAAAAAGGTCTCTTAAATGAATTCAACGCAGGTACGTTTTCACATTGATTTGCTTGACCTCTCTCCCACCTATCACATTTCTATACAGAAAAAACAAAAACAAAAATGAATATACATGCAGAAAAATCAGGTTGAGCTAAGGTCAAGGGTCAGTGGGTGGCCAGGTATTGGTCAGGCGAGCTTAGAGAGACATCACAGACAATGGTGGGATGATGAGGCCAGGAGTTTGGCTTGGCTTTCAACATCATGAAGACATGCTAGGCTAATGATGAGCAAACAGGCATGGAGATTTGTTCTAAAAAAGGAACAAAAACACGAAAGGAAGAGAGAGAGAGAGAGAGAGAGAGAAAGAGAGAGAAAGAAAGAAGACAAAGAGGAGAAGAGAAAGTTAGGGGCACAGCACAAGAATCGTTTAGCCATGAGGCACAAAAACCAACAAAAACAATGCCAATCACCACATACAATAAAGGACAGTGCGGTAAACATCCCCCCCCTCCTCCCCCGCCCTCTTTACCCCGACACACAAAAACAATACACAGATTTAGGGAAGTGACACCACATATGGCAGAGACTCCAACATGCACAAACTGTATACTTGGCACCCACAGAGATCCATCTAGAGCCAGTCCCTTGTGGGAGGACTTGGAGGATGGATGGAATGACTGGAAGAGGTTGTTAATAGAGAAAAGAGAGGTAGCCTAGCTCAACATGGCTTAGATAATGACAGAGAACGGGTGGGAGACAAAAAGGTGAGATTGGGGGAGCAGAGATTGAAGAATTTTAGAGTGCAAAAGACTTTCACATTAAGAATGACAAACGAACGAGACAGACTACATGTAAAAAGCCGAACACAGGTTGAAGCTCTGGGCTCGGGGTCTACGCGGCCTGGCTTCAGCCCTTCAACACAACAACTGATCCTTAGTCAACCTGTGTGGCTTCACCTGAAGGCAATGAAATGGCATGGAAACACACCTGATGCTCTCCACTAATTACAGTGACACAAAATACCTCCAGCGAACACTGACTCCAGTGATAGTCATAAATAATCATATACATTAAAATATTTAATCCGACTCAAATTACATGATAAAACCGCAGGAATGAAATACAGTAAAATGTGGAAAGATCATTGCAACCATTTTTTTTTTTTTTTTTAGGAATAGAGTGAGTCTCCCTCCTGTGGTGGGCTCCTTTCCCCCTGCCCCACTGAGTCTCTGCTGTGGTGACCTTGGCTGGAGGGTGAACTTACCCTAGCAGTGCTAGCATTAGAGCTGGGGAGGGGGGAAGGCCCCGGGGCTAGGATCAGTAGGGTTTGCTGTCGTTCTTGGAGCGCTTCAGCTGAACCTTCAGCCTCTTCATGCCGATCTGGAAACCATTCATGGCCTGGATGGCAGCTTGCGCAGACACAGGATTGTCATAGCTGACGAACCCTGAGAACAAAATGGTGGAGGACATTTAAAGAGCAACTTAACACTCGGTTTAACACGCTTCACATATTGACAAAATGCATTCAACCAAACTACTGCCTGCCACACGCTTGCTCTCTTTTCAAGTTACAGCTCCAAACGAGTTGTGTAACTACAGTTCTCTGAGTTTAGACTGAAGACAGGACTGAAGACAGGACTGAGACAGACTTGAAGACAGACTGAAGACAGACTGGGAAGACAGACTGAAGACAGACTGAAGGTTATGGTGCACAAAGCAACATCACACATTTCTCAGATTATTGTTTAGTCTAGAGGGATTTCTCTGAAAAAAAGATCTATTGCAATTAATACTTAAGACTGGGACCTAAACAGTTGATATATTGACATACAAACATTAAGGGATATATTAAATAAATTGATGATGATGAAAGCTGGTTAGGTCATCTGTCAAGTTACAGCTTCTTATTTGTGAGGACTAACTGGACTCAAAATTAAATGCATTAATAAATAAAAACAAATCTTGAATCTTTAGTCAATTAAAGTCACAATATTTCTGTGTCAACATTCATGTTTTTACATGGAACTTCATCAAATTAACGACATTTTAAAAGCATCAAAGCTGCAACAAAAAGATTAAACCAAGTGATGTGCAAACATAAAAACACGTTCCTCATTTTTTGTTTTAATCCTGCTGGCAAAATGAACATTATGATGAGATGAAAGGACTTAAAAGCACACAGGTTTGAACTGTACTGGAGACACCTTGAGAACTGATTTAACTTGAGAGTGTCTCACTTAGACTTGCATTAAAAAATTTAATAAAATAAACTTGCTGTAGATTAATATTGGTTCAGCTGTATTTGGATGGGAGGCCAAGGTTTCACTAGGAAATGTATGGTGGCACCATGGCAACCTAATATCTACAACACAACGTAGCAAGTTGAAAAGGAATATCAATAATTAAAAAGGGCTTTAGAGATCAGTGGTGTGAACACACTTACCAAAGCACTTGCTCAGATTGGTCTGTTTGTCAATGAAGACTTTGGCAGAGACCACATTTCCAAAAGGCATAAACATCTGCAGAAGATCCTGGTCCCCAAACTCCTGGGGCAGGTGGTAGATGAACAGGTTGGCGCCCTCTGGCCCTACTCCATTTGGTAAGCAAATCAAAAACTCAAGTTAGATACATATTTAGATTGCAAACACAAATATAATTAGTTCATTGTCAGGTTAATCTTATTTACAAAGAGGTGAAAAACAGACTGAAACACATCTGAAAATGTGATTGCGAGAGCGTGTTGGTGTGGGCTGAGGAACTACTCACCTTCCTTCTGGCTGCCAGCAATGCTCTGCTGCAGGAGAGACTGGCCATAGAGGGAGGGCAGGGCGGAGGCTGTGTACTGCTGCATCCCTGAGTAGGCCTGGGTCAGAGCATCCATGGAGCTGGCTGCTGACCCATTGGCCATGGAGCCTCCCAGGCCTCCATTCATGGCCCCCATACCTGAGAAACAGAAACACGTTCATGTGTTGTACAGTCAGACAATCAAACATTTTACAACTTTTATTATGAGGTTGGTATTTAAAGCAGCATTAAATGTTCTGGCCACCAGGGGGTGCAGAAAAACCAACCTTTACAAACACAGCTCATCATGTTACACTCCCTGGCGACTATATTGGGTACACATATACAATCTGTTACAACCCTATACAACAGCTCTGTCACATATTCTACCTTTAAGAAGTTTACAATAGCCAGTTTCTGTTAATATTCCACTAATAAGTATACATTTAATAATATGGTTATTATTGAGGTTTAAATTAGTGGTGATGATGGACAACATTTATATTTGTTTATTACTTTGTTTATTCTGGGTGCTTTTGCTTGCTTTTATTGTGTGTATCATTGTTTTGCTTTTGCTCGTAAACTTTATAAAGCACTTTAGGTTGCCTTGTATATGAAAATCTCCCATGCCTCGAAAAGGTGTGTCTAATAACCTCCCCTTCATTTTTTAAGACCAGTTCAACACACCTGCAAACAACAACCTCGATTAAAAAAAAAAAAGTTAATCCTTCAAAACAGAACTTTTTTTATCCTTGTAAATTTATAGTTGAGCTTTTCTATTGGATCACATTAGATAATTGTACCTAGTGTACTGAGTGTATGTTTAACTTAATGTTTAATTAAATCTGTCAGTTATACCATTCAAGGAGTTACTTGTGTATCTATAACAGTTCTTAACTGAGTGGAAATATGTAGGCCTATCTGTGGTATTTTAATGTTAAAATAATAATGACAATATGTACCTGTCATATTTTAATGCAGGCTAATAAAAATAAGGTGCAAATATACATAAGAACTGTTGACTGAACAGATAAGGCACCAGGATTAATCATGCCTGGCTGTTAGTGGCACAGAATAAATCTCCACTGCTCTCAAGAAACCGAGTCACGTCTAATTGCAGCCAGGAGAACTGTAAAATGTATCTTTAACTTGGATCTCTTTAAGGCTTTCTGCATCCTAATGGCTAAAATTCCATAACGCAGAATTGAAGATGTAGTAAAACAGTAACTATGAATTTCTTTTTCATTTTATCCAGTTTATTCATTCTTACCACTGACGCTGTTGGTGAGAGCGTTGAGGTTGAGGCCCACAGAGGTCCCAGTGAGACCCTGCAGGGTGCCCAGAGATGCCAAGGTGTTCATGGCAGCACCCATGCTGGACCCCGCTGTTGAACCGGCTGTTGAGAGACAATAAAAACGACATATGGGTTACCACGGGGGGCACTTGCTCATGTTCAAAACACCACAGATCTCTCTAAACGCCTGGCGTCTTTGCCACAAATTGTTATGGTTATGAGAGGATGACACAGCAGTGAAGGGGCAGTTAAAAATCTGTCTCTTAACGAGAAGAGGTCATTACCGCAACAGCAATATGCTAAACTCAGACAGATGGAGCCAATGTATATTTACACAGATTAAAGGGAAATGGGGGCTCTCATAAAATTTTATATGTGGGTGATTAACTCCCATAAAATAAATGAGGAATGGCTGAGGGCCGTTAGGCAAATAGCAGATGAAGAGGTTTGCAATTGGTAGGTACCATCCCAGCAACAGGACAACATGTTAACGTGTGTTTCTCTCAACAGGCGAGGTGTTACATGTGAAGATAAACACATTTGGAATTTATGACTAAACAAGGTTAAAAACACAGCAAGCAAAACAATATCCTTAAACAAGTACTCTAACTGAACTTAATGAACCATGATAATTAACACTGCCATAGGGTTTGATTCACACTGGGCGCTTAATACTGTATGTATAGTACATGCACATACTACAAATGAATAATAATAATAATAATTACCTGGACTGCCCAGGGCTCCCAGGGCCCCACTGTTTGTAGACAGGGCGCTGGTGGAGGTTGGGCTGCCAGAACTCTGAGCTGTAGCTGCAGCAGCAGCTAATGTGGCCAAGTTCTGCAGCTGAAGGGGATTCACACCTGCAGCGAGAGAGAGAGAAACAGAGGTGATTATCAAAGACTTCCAAATTTACGCTCAAGTTCTCGCAGACCGTTCCAAAAACTCTTGGAGGGAACAAACTTCTCCAGAATGCAAGCAGAGAATACATCTCTACGGTTTCAGATGATATGTGTCATTGAGACTATCGATTAAAAGCACATTCCTCTCCTCAGCCTCCTCTATAAAACACTGCCAGGATACAATCTGGCATTCTTCTTCTTTTCCATTCACTCTTTTTTGGTCAAGTTACCATCTGACCCATCAACATTATGTCTGAAATTTTTTTTATTTTTCATCATCATATTTAAGCCATTAAACATTTGGTTACTTTGGCATTTCTTGTACTAAAAAATTTGAGGGTTGTATTGGATGAGGCATAAGTGGTTTTAGTATAAGACCTGAAATGATATTTCAACATACACAACCACACCCACAATAGTTGTGTGTTGTTTCTTGCTTTAAACATGGAACATTTCTCCTCACAGGTCTACAGCTATAGCCAAGTCGTGGTTATGTGCAGTGTGTTTGTCTGTAGGCAGCCTGCACAGGCTTAGAATAGCGGCGCCGATTATGAATGTGCCACTGATCTGAAACAGTAATGTGATTTATTGCAGTTTAAACCATGTGGGTGTAGAGCACTGAGTCATAACGTTGGTGACACGCAAAGTGTCAGCTTGTTCTATTATAGAGGATGAACATCTCAAAATCTGAAACGATGGTCTCACCTCCTAGCCTCTGAATACTATTGAAACTGCCTTGGTTACTGGTAGATGTGGCTTGCTGGAGCAACTGTTGAGGACAAAGAAAGAAAGAGTCAAACAGGGAACACACAATTAGATCTTAAATAATCTACAACTGTTGTTGAACAATGTGGAATTCAGTGTTGCTATTATGCTGTAAATGTGAGGACAAAGTTTAGTGGTTATAATCTTGGCTTTTTATACACTCATTATTTAATATGTTAATGCTGGTTCTGCTTATTTGTTTATTGAGAAACAGAACTTATTTAGTGATTTAGGCCCTATTTACACATCATTTAAAGTGTCTCATGTCTGGATAAAATACTTTTCTTACACTTAGATTTGTGATCTGGCCAACAGAAACGCATTTAGATGCAAATCAGGGTTGGCAATCCTCCACGCCAAGAGGAAGTGGTAATGCCCCTGAAGCTGGTTGGTAACTGCCAAAGTGCAGTAGTTATTCTTCTGGCACTTTTTGTTTACTCACACCAATAACAGTTGAGCTAGCATTAGCTAACAACTACCCATAACTATCCATAACACAAAAAACATGAAGGAATCCTATTTATGAACTAAATTTATAAACATATCAAGGATCAGACAAACTACAGCAGCTCAGAGCGCCTTGGATTTGATCATATGTGCTTTGATGAGAACAATGGCTAATTTCATTTTAGCTGCCATTATGACTAGGACGGAGGAGAAAGACAATGGATGTATTCAGAAAATCAGACCGTGAATGGGCCATTTCCACAGACCTCATACTGACGTAGTTACACTACATACTATTATGCAAAAAGGCAAAAGATTATATATGTGCCTTGGAAAGACGGATGCAATCAACACTCTTCCAACATAAGATGTGACTCAAACGCTTCTTAGGTACATTTAACTTTTTTGACATCGGATAGCCATTAAGTTTAAATTGGATCTTTATTTGAGATGCAGCAACAACACAGGGGCAAGGTTTGTACTGAATATTACGGAACAAAGTCCTTCAATTTCCCTTTATTCTACATGTATTTGGTATGTAGGAGTCAGTTCAATCAGACCTGTCACTATCTCTAGTTTTCCTCAGAAACAACTGGGCTGTTCATGCTATGTCCATGTTTAATTCACGTGACAATTGGCTCCAAATCCTACGTTGAGCTGAAGAGAATCAGGTAATAGTTCAGGTCTGAATACTGCGCAGCATTTCGAATTACATTATAACCTTTTCTGTATTGGCATTTTGCACCATCACATTGTTTATATGTATGAGGCCTCTGATGAGTTAATCCTTTTGATAGTTTAAAAACAATTCCAACAAATTTACCAGATGTTTCAGGCCCACAAGACTGTATTATAGACAAAATGGCTGCTGCATTTCCATCCAAAATCACTTAAAGCTGATCAACTGTTTAACAAAACAGCAGCAGACAAATGGGATCACTTGACAATGTAATTCAATAAAATATACACAGAGACAAATCTTGCCCTAGTGAAGCTCATTTTCCAGTTTTTGTTAAAACCATGTGGTCTATTCGTACATGAACCTAAATACCGCCAACATTGTATTTCTTCACGTCAAAACGTATAGATTTTTTCACACTCGTACTTTGCAAGTCAAGAGGGCCATATACTCAACATATGTCTAAACTATTAATATAGTGCCATATGATAATACATTAGTTATTGTGCAGCTCAGCAGGGCGTGTTTAAGCAACACTTACAGCCAGGTACTGCGGTGTGAGTGTCCCCAGGCCGGCCAGGTTTCCCCATGTAGAGGCACTGTTGAGCTGTTGAATCTGCTGTACTAGCTGCTGCTGCAGGCGTCGCTGCTCCTTATCTCTCTGTGTGTCTGCAAACTTCACCACCAAAGGTGAGGAACAGCCCTGAAGCAGTGAAGAGGTCAAAGATGTTAGACCGATTCAGATGCAACCTGAAGAATGAATAGTTTATTTACCAATGCAAGGACCCAGTCATTGCAGGGACTTTTTTTTTTCCAAAAAAGGGGGGTAATCAGCTATGCCTCAATACAGTTTTTATGCCTGTTGCAATCATATCAAAGCTAACACAGAGAAGACATCTGCCATGCATAGCTAAGCCAGGCCACATTCCAAAAGGGGGGGCACAGGATAATGCTGCAGACAGTGAATCTTTTGAGCACTGAGGAGCTGAATCGAGTCCACAGACAAGCAGACAATAGATGGAGACAACACTTAAAACATGACATTCAAATGAGGATATGTCAGCAGACATTAACAAGAAAAATGCATTACAATACACACAATCTCACAAGCAGACAGTCACATACTGTTCAGACAGACGCATGGACACGAGGCATGCGGTGCAAAAGTATTTTGAGAGTTGAGAGCCGGACAGGGACCAGGCTGGACAGGGAAAATGGCTTCTGAACCAGCAGCACCTCCCATGGCAGCTGAGAACTGGGGAGGTTATGATATGGGGGGGGGGATAGGTGGCACCACCACTGGGGCCTGCGTTTAATCTGGGAGGAGGAATGTTATGTTTGGTTGGGCTCCTAATTAGACTTGGTCTGATGCTTCACTGGGGAGCCTCTGACCTGCTAGCTGTCAAATTACTGCTGCTCCACTTCCACGAAGATACCATTGGCTACACAATGACATGGACCCAGTTTTTGAAGAAATCTAATAGGGTAGCTGCTCAAGGCTAGGTTAATTCTTTGTTAACCTACATCTGATAGTGTGAGCTTGATTCCCTGTGGTCCAAAATATAGATTGATTATGGCAGACTGTGATGGCTAGGCTCTAAAATATTATCAGAATCAATAAATGAGATGCATTTAGTCCAGCCCAAAATTAGAGATGACAGCAAACCTCGTCATGTCCTGTTAGCTCTGGATTCAGCAGCTATGTGAGAGGCTATGTTTCGAGTTTTTTATTCAATTATTTTGCAGACGACAATGTAATTTTGTAATTGGCAAGAGTGGTTTTGGAAATGACTCATGCTCTGTAATGAATGGACACCATCTGCTTGGACAGGTTCTTCATCCTTCCAACACAAGGGGGCAGCAGAATGTATGAGTGGGGAAGGGGGGAAAATGAGAAATAGGTGCTAAGGGGTACAGTACCTCCATAGTCTGAGAGTGATGCATGGTTTTGATTGCATTCTGTGCCATTGCCCTGGTAGCAAATGTGACAAACGCACAGCCTGTAGGGGGGGACAATAGGAGAG